GCTTCAAAGCTTAGTGATTCTTTTAAAGCTTCAAAGCTTCAAATTCTTTCAAAGCTTCAAATTCTTTCAAAGCTTCAAAGCTTGAAAGACTCAAAGTCAAAGCTCAAAGACTTGCTTAGTGATTTGGTTTGGATGAAAAGGTTGAATTTGGTTGTCTAGCAAATCTTTCAAGGTTGACACGCGGATAAGCGAGCTCAGAGAGTTAAGCGACTTTAACTTTTGCACCAAAATGCCTAGACATCTAATCTGCAGACCAATTACTATAGACTCTCAAAAGGCACTTTTAAAAGTTAATTTTTAGCAAAGTAACCTAGTCAGTGGATGGACAAGCGAGTGAGGGTCGATACTAGACTTCGGAAAACAAAACTTAACCAAAACCAAAACCACCAAAGCCATAACAAAACCAAAACCAACCAAAACTAACCAAAACTCGCCAATATCTCGCGACTGGGAGGAGCTAGCGAAAATCTGTCTGCAGATTTGAAATCAGCGTTTAAAAATCTATCCCATAGGCTATTTTTTGTTTCGAAATTTCGAGGTCATGTTTTGGTCGTTTTTTCGGCCGCGAGACTTTGTGCAGTGAGCAAAAAGTGAAAGGCAAATTTGCATTTTACATTAAAATTTGCATTTTACAATTTTAAATTTTAAATTACAAAATTTACATGTTAATTTATATGCAAATTGAGTTTTGGTTTTGGTTTTCGTCTGTTTTGGTTTTGTTTTTCATCTGTTTTGGTTTTGGTTTTGGTCTGTTTTGGTTTTGGTTTTGTTTGCCGAACTCTAGTCGATACTATTAGTTTACCTTTCAAAATTCCCCGCTTTTTCTATCCAATTCATAGTGGAATTGATTAAAAGATTGAAAAAAGCAAAAAGTCGTGATAAAGAGGCATGAATAAAGAGGCATGATAAAGAGGCAAGGTCTGAAAAAAGTGCAATCGAAAAGCTGGTTTAACAGATTTGTTTAGAATGATTTTGATTTTGATTTTTACAAAAGTCTAATAAAGTACAAACGAGTAGCGACAACTTACAGTTTGCCCGGTTCAATAGAGAAATAACAAGAGTTCAACTCAAACTCAGCCCCTGTTATCAAGCGAAAAATAAAACAGTTAAAACAGCATCGATTTATGAAAATTTCTTCGAAAAAAGAACGTAAACAACAATGGGTTATTGATGGAAAATGCAGAAAAGGAGCCTTTTTTCAAAGAGACTAATTGCAATGCAAAGCGGCTCCCCCCAAAAAAAGGATTAAGTGGGTGAAACCCATCGAAATTTTTGATCTTCAAATTTGAGGAAAACAAAAATGAGCAAAATCAAAAGTGGACAATTTAGGAAATTTAATTAGGCGAAGGACTAAGATTTAAAATTTAACTGAATTTTAACTGAATTTTAACTGAAAAATCTCTACTCGAAAGTTTGACTGGTTGGAAGTTAAGTTGAACACTTTAAAATCTTGATTAGCTAAAGATTTGGATGAAAAATCTTGATTTAAATTGGATTGATTGGATTGGATTTGATTGATTTGACTGATTTGATTGAATTGATTGATTGGATTGATTGATTGGATTGATTCATTGAATTGATTGAATTGATTGGATTGATTGAATTCAATTGATTGATTGATTGAATTGATTGATTTGATTGATTGATTGGATTGATTGATTGGATTGATTGATTGGATTGATTCATTGAATTGATTGGATTGATTGAATTGATTGGATTGATTGAATTGATTGAATTGATTGAATTCATTGAATTCATTGATTGGATTGATTGAATTGATTGAATTGATTGGATTGATTGGATTGATTGAATTGATTGAATTGATTGAATTGATTGAATTGATTTGATTTTGATCTGATTCTGATTCGATTTGAATTGGATTTGAATTGGATTTGATTTGGATTTGATTTGGATTTGGATTTGTTTTGAATTGGATTTGAAAATCAAATCCAAAGTCTTTTTTTCTTTTTAAACTATTTATGAATAAAGAACAATTTAAAGTTCTTTAAAGATCTTTAATCTGTGAGATTTCCATGCATTCTCTCGATTTATTGTATCTTTTAATCCTAACAGCAGAATCCTAACAGTAGAATTCTCTCATAACTTTTAATTAAAACCTAATTTTGTATCTAATTTTGAAAGCTCTTGATCTTTGTTGCTTTAAATGGAATCGAGGCGATAGATTGGACAAAACAGATTACTGTAGCTTTCAAAAGTACGCTTTCAAAAAATTACGCTTTCAAACTTTCAACGCTTTCAAACTGCACTTTAGAAAGCTCAGTTTTATCACTCAGTTCTTTTTAAAGTCAATTTAAAGTTCAAAATTAGCTTTCTGGCGGAATCGATTCTAATTCAACCCTTTGAATCAAAGATTCGTGAAGATTGAATCAATCTTCGCGAAACTTCAGAACTGATAATTCTTTCGTTTCCCATCCTCTTTGAATAGAGGTTTTTCAAAAGGTCATTTCATTGTTCGAATCGGCTAAATTATAGCCAATTTTGCGCTTTTTTTATTTCTTTTTCAAATCATTCTCTACAATTTATTCGCACTTTTTCTTTTTTCTTTCGTTCTTTTCAAAGAAATTCTTTGAAAATCTCGTTATCAGCGTCGATAATCGGGTCAAAATATTTCATTTGGTGGGAAAATCGGGAATTTCTGGATGTAAAATTTGGAATCTTATCTCAAAGAACAAAGATCGCTTTGAGATTTGCATTTCGGGAGATTTAAGTTTCACCTTTTAACTTGATCTAAAAGATTTTTCATTTAAAACAACTTCAAATCAAAGTCAAATCAAATTTGAATCAAATGAATGCAATCAAATCAAGCTTAAATCAAGATCGTCTAGGACTAGAGGCTCGTCTAGAATTAGAAGCTCGTCTAGAATTAGAAGCTCGTCTAGAACTAGAAGCTCGTCTAGAACTAGAAGCTCGTCTAGAACTAGAAGCTCGTCTAGAACTAGAAGCTCGTCTAGGACTAGAAGCTCGTCTAGAACCAGAAGCTCGTCTAGAACTAGAAGCTCGTCTAGGACTCGAAGCTCGTCTAGAACTAGAGGCTCGTCTAGAACTAGAGGCTCGTCTAGAACTAGGAGTTCGTCTAGAACTAGGAGCTCATCTAGGACTAGAAATTCGTCTAGAACTAGAGGCTCGTCTAGAACTAGGAGCTCGTCTAGAACTAGAAGTTTCGAAGATAATGACAAAATGAACTAAACAATGTCTAGAAATGTCTCAAATCTACATTCTTTTTAAGTGTACTTTATACTCAAAATAGAAACGCACCCTTTCTAGCAAACTGAACGCTTCATTTGATGTAAAGTCGAACGCGCCAGAGTCTTAAATTTATTTCGAACAAAAAAGACACCTAAAAACCAAATCTACAAAATTGCCAAGTAAATGTATTATAGAAAAAATGAAGAAATAAAAAATCGGCTCGAAACCGTTTCCAATTAATTCCAATTAAATTTCGATTTTCAAATAAAGATTTATTGTCGATTCTCCGGCCCGTAATATCTTTTTTGTTTAAACGGTTTTTTTTCAACTATACCCAATTGCAATAGTCAAAAAAACGAAAAAACAAAGTGAAAACGCAAGAAAAACAAAAAAAAACAAGAAAAACAAAAAAACAATGAAAGATCTCACAAAAATCACAGCCATTCTTTGAAACAAATGCTTAAAGTCTGGGATAAAAAGTTTATTTAAAAGGGGAATTTAAAAGGGAATTTAAAAGGGTTATTTAAAAGGGAATTGAAAAGGGTATTTAAAAGGAAATTTAAAAGGGAATTTAAAAGGGAATTTAAAAGGGTAAAAGAAAAGTAATGAAAAATGACTCAAAACAAAACCAATCGATATCAAATGAAGGAAAAGGATTTAAGGAAATGAATCTAAGGAAATGAATTTAAGGATTCATTTAAGGAAATAGAATTAAAATAGAATTAAAATCTAACTTTTAGATCCAATAGATCAAACAAAACAAAACTCAAGAATAGAATCCAGCGAAAGCTTCCTTTTTTCCCTGTTTAAACGGTCACTTTCTCTGCTCTCTACTCAAAAAATGATAAGAAAATCTGACCACCAATTTTTGTCAAAAAGAAAAATCCTAGGGCAAAGGGTGAAAAGGGAGCTAATAGGCTTTAGATATGAAGTTGAATTCAAAAAAAATTTTCCGGTGAACAGTTGACGAGTTTTAAAGTGAAAAACCAGAGGATTTTAGTTGTATTGTTTAAAAAATTTTTCAAAAGCCTAAAAAAAGATAAGCAAAAACAATAGTGGAATTGATTTTGGCCAGAAAATTTGCAATTGCCCAGAAAATTGAGAATTTGCAAGCTCGTCAGGAAAACCGGACAAAAATCGTCGACTTGTCGGTTTTCTCAGCAATTTTTGAGTGCAAATTTGACAATAGATTTTAAATGATCGAGAAAAGGCAAAAAGTACAACGATGGCTTGGAAAAGTCTAGAAATTCAATGTTTTAGATGAAACTTATCAATTTGGCTTTGAGAGTTGAATGGATAAGGGTAAAATTGATAGTATTGATAGCTCAAAACTTGATGGGATTTGAGATTTGGATAAGGCTTTTAAAAATGGAATTCATTTCTTAATTGTAAGTCAGTTTCGAATTGTAATTCAATTCTTAATTGTAATTCAACTCTTAATTGTAAGTCAGTTTCGAATTGTCATTCAACTCTTAACTGTCATTCAATTCTTAATTGCCATTCAATTCTTAATTGTAAATCAATTTCTAATTGTCATTCAATTCTTAATTATAATTCAATTTCGAATTGTATTCCAATTTTTCAAAACTTCCTCCAAAATCCAATACTTAGTATCGAGTTTTCTGATCGAAATTTTGAAAAAGGCGGGCTTGTTTACATTTTATATCGACCGGTGTCCATAGTGAGAAGGGGAAGAAAAGGGGAATAGAAGGGGAAAAGAAGGGAGAAAATGAGTGTTCAAATGTTTCAAAATCCACAAAATACATGGGAAAATGAATAATATAAAAGCCTTAAAGGAGTGTTTTTTCGGGATGACTCATTCTATGGGGTCTTATTGTTGTTTCCTCCTCTCCATCACTGTCTGTCTCATCCAAACCGCCGATCGTTCCCGGGATATCAATGAGAACCGTTTCCCCGTTGCTCTTTGATCGATTGATCACCCCTTCCAGGAGATTTGATTGCGTCAAACTGAAAGGAGAACTTAGATACTGAACTTAGATAAACAAATAAACAAGTAAACAAGTAAACTAGTAAACAAGTATAAATCTAAAAAAGCTCTGAAATAGACAAGTTCTTTAGATACTTTTACACTAAAGGCTACATTTGGAAACTAATTTTGGCATACAAAGTACAGTAGGTACTTGTTGAATCTATTGTGCTTTTTTAAATGCATCTAGCAAAAGTTTTTTTTGCCGTATTGGTGTGCTTTATGCTCAATTATTGAAGCAGTTCATCAAATTGTTAGACTAAAGTATGGGAATTTTGAGACTAAAATTACAAGCACTTTTTCTTTTTAGCCGGATGATTTCTAATTCTATAATCCCGTTAGGGTTCTTGAAGGGATTAAGCTAACTTATTCAAAAGATTATTACTTCAAAAAATTGTTGTGCTTGGTCAACTTTGGGAAAGATTTCAAAGTATTCAAGGGACTGAAAATGAAAAAGATTAGATTCGGATTAGAGTTTAGATCCAGATTACATAATTACATAAAGATTCCATAAAAACTTGAAAAATAAACTCAAAATCAAGCTCAGGCCTTGAGTTGGTTCGATTTTTGAGAAGAACTAAGTTTTAAGATACCTCATTTTCCCTAATAGTCGTCATCCGGCCGAGCCGAGTTGATGACTATTTTACGGTTTCCAAGCTTTCACAGAAACTCAACACTCAAATCCCCCACTAGATCTCATCGTCAGCTACATTTTCCGACCCCACATCACTAGGTTCTGATAAGCGGTTTTCGAAATTTCGAGCAATTTAAGCGAAGCTCAGGGTGCACTACTATTAGAGAAAATACGGTAATGGCTATACCATCTAAAAAGTAAAAGAAAAATCTATTAGAGAAGATACAGTATCTAATCAGCTTTAGCCAGCTTTGACAATTTCAGCACCCGGGTAATCGTCGATTATCGAGAGAACATTGGCGAACATTGTCGAGAGAAATATTTTCTCTTTCCTATTCGCCGGTGATCTCCCGAAACCATAACTTTTCCTCTACATGTCATCAGAAATGCTGTGTTTCCAAGTTTCGCGCACAAAAGCACATTGTAATGGGAAATCTATTCTTGAAATGTAATGGGAAATCTATTCTTGAAATATAATTGCTTGAAATATTTGTTTTCATCATTTTAAATGAACTTTGCTCTATCATTTCTACAAGACTACATCTTTTGAAATCGTCATACTTTGTTCACTTGATTTTCTTTTGAAAGAGAAACTGGCTATCACTTCAAAAAGCTTTGACAGCTTTGAGTGATTAATTGACAGTTCCGTTTCTCTTAGCTATCCCCTTTGGTGAGTAATTTTGATTTCAAAACGTTTCTTTTTACAACATTTTCTTTTCTTTTCGTTTTTACAACAGCTAACCAAATAGAAGTTAGCCAATGAGTCGGCTGGGAATGAAGTTAGGAATGAAGGCTCGAAAACTCCCCATTTTCTTGAGGATGGGATCAGGGACTTGCGACGAAAATGGAAACAAGTCATCAATAATAAGGGAGAATATCTCATTGATTGATCTGCTTTTGTTTATGTTTTTAGCAATAAACAGTTTTGTGGCAAAAACCGACATTACTTTTTCCTCAACCTAATAGAAGTTAGCCAATGAGTGTTCGGCTAGGAGAATTTCGAGATCTATGAACGCTTTCAAAAATCTTTACAAAACCTACGCCACTCCATCATCATCCTCGGAGTCTTCTTGGTTCAATTTGAGGTACGGATTCCTGGATTGAGGCCGAAATTTGTAGCCGACAACAACGAAGAAAAAGAGTGTCGAAATCTCGACCACAGCCTCACATGTCCACTCCAAATCGAATGGAATACCGTACTGAAATGGTGAAATCGAGTTAACGATAAAAGTGACTTAAAATTTACAGCTTTTCTTTCTTAAAAATGATCTAATGGTAAAGCCAAGCAAAGCAAAACAAGTGTTAAACTGTTCAGATGAGACTGAATACTCTTTGAAGTCTAAAATCACTTTCATTGCTCATTACTTTTACCATGCTTTTATCTTTTACCATTTTTTTTGTTCTGTAACTTACCAATAATAAAAACTTGATAATCCTTGTTGTGTAGATATAACAGATAACCAAGAGGTAAAACTGTCGAAAGATTCTCAATTTCTCCAAATTAAACGCCGCTTTTCCGTCGGATCGAGCGCCTTCGACGAGGTGATGCATTGACCTAAAATTTAGAATAAAATAAAATAAATAACAACGTAATCGTAAAAATAACAAGGTTTTTCAGGGATAAATCTGGTTTTTCAGTTTTTCAGTGATAAATCCACTTGCAAGAATTCTATTTTGGATAGAAACAGTCTCACAAAAGTGATGTTCTTGTTCTTTTATCATTTCTTCGCCATTAGACTTTCATTTAATAAGCTTCTTTGGTTTGGTCTCCTTCCCTATTAAATCTTATTAAAAAAATAGAACGTGTTCAGAGGCACTTCACCAGAATTGCTCTTTATAAAATTAATTTTGACAAATTCTCCTCCTTTACTTATTCTGATAGATTGCAACTCTTTGGTCTTGAAATGTTACACCAACGCCGCCTTATCATCGATTTAGTGGAATGCTTTAAAATTGTTAAAGGCATTCATCCCGACCCCCTTTTTTTTGGTCACTTTGAATTCGGCTCTCTACGGGGCGCCTCCAGAAGGCCCCAGAAGGCCCAGAAGGCCTACGGGGCCTTTTCTCATACGCCCACCTTCCGTTTCCTCCAAAAGCCCCCACAGTTTCTTTTTTAATCGAGTCATTAAATTCTGGAACATTTTACCCCCTCATGTTCGTGATATTTCCATCTTGGCTAGATTTAAAGCCGCAATTTCGGCAATTGATTTGACTGCTCTGTGATTCTTTCTTGAGGTATCTATTTATCTTTTGGGTGTGTTTTGAGTGGTGTCCCGGGTAATTATTGTGATTTTGTTTTGTCGCTATTCAACTGAATAAAGCATATATATTTGACTCTTTTTTAGTTAGATATGATCTTTCTACTTGCTAGAAGTTAACTTATTTTCATTTCTTTAAATCAAATCATTCTCTGGCTTTTGATTTTTGTCCAAAAAATGGAACTTTTTGCCTCGTTGTGGGTAGAAAACGGCCGATTTCTAATCTTGGCTCGAGGCTTAATCTCTTCCGCAAAAAGTAAAACACAAAATACGCCAAGATTTTAAGTGCCAAGTTCCAGTTTTACAGAAAAATTTCCCCAAAAAAAACTCACCAGATAATCGGGAAAAAGATCAAGAAACAGCAAATTAAATCCAAGAAGACAAAGATTTGATACCTGAAAGTGAATTAGAACAGATTCATTGTAGGGTAAATATTGTAGGGTAAATCACTCACCAAAATTGATAGGATTGATTTCCGAACTCGCTTTCTTCAATGATGATCAAAGCGATGTTGTCAATGATCTGAAAAGGAAAAAAATTACTATGTCAAAGTGATAAGCTTTCAAAGTCAAAGGGATAAACTTCAGGCCGCTAGTTAGCCCTAATAGTATGTAAGCTTAATCTTAAAACAAGGAAACTTAGCAAAAAGTCATAGTTAAACTTTTAATTTGATTTCAAATCAGGGAAATCCGGGATAAAACCCGGGGCTGTATTCGATCTGAGAATCTTAGATCCTAAATAAATCGAAAAAGTCGTAATAAATCATAAATTGTAAATCATAAATCGTAAATCATAAATCGTAATCGTAATCGTAATCGTAAAAGTAAATCGATTTCTCAATAATTGATAGTTCTCAAAAGATGAAATCATCTTTTTAGGCTTGTTAAAAGATGAAATCAGCTTTTCAGGCCAGTTTCAACCTTGAGTATTTCAGTTAGTTTTTGTTTAACTGTAGTAGAATTTGTAGAATGTAGAATTTGTAGCGAAAATCTAACAAAATTTAAGGCAAAAATTGATGCCAATTAGAAACGCTATCAATCCTTTTCTAAAAGAAACAACCTTAATGCTATTTCTTATGTAAAGTTTTAAGTAATTGATTAGTATCCGTTTTGAATAGTTTTAACAGAAAAGTACTGAATCTCCAACTTTTTCAATACATAGCAAACGCTACAACTATCAACTAGCAACCACAAATCATCCAGTTTTCGCTCACCTGTAACGGAAGCACAACCATGAACACTTTTCGATCTCGTTCAGTCAGGAAATTCTTGAAAAACGTGTACCCAGTGCCGATGAGAACAATCGTTCCAAAAAGCATTGCTCCTTTTAATCTAGATTCTAATTGTTAAAGCTTTGACCTTAAAGACTTACAAATGTGTAATGTAGAAAACGAGAGCCCAGATCTCTTTCTGATGACCGTATTTTGCCACAAAGTAGTAGTTGACTCCATGAAAAAATAGGGACAAAGCCTAAAGAGTTTTGTAAAATTTTAAACTCTTGAAGTTTACCTTGAGATAGACTAGACATGTCATCAAGTAGTGAACTCGGAAAATGTCGGATGAGCTGAAAAAAGAAGAATATAAAATAGAATTAGATGCAGAAGAATATAAAATTGAATCAACTCGATTTCTTAGAATTTCATTTGGTTTTCTGTCCTGAACTTTATGAGATTTTTGGTTTGAAAATGGAAACCTTCATCTTCTGGCATACTGAATACGTTGTTTTTCTGCATTTTGAGAAATGTGTATGATAGAAAGAGTTGTTTTTTATGAGTTGAGCCAAAGAAAGGGTAAAATCGATGATTTCTTAATTTCCACTCACTTGCTCATGCACAATTTGTGTGTCCAAAGAGCTCCGGCGAATAAAAACATCAATGACATGTAGAGAAAAAGTTGCGGTTTCGGAAGATCCCCGGCGGAGAGGAAAGAGAAAAAATTTCTCTCGACAATGTCCACCGTGAAATCGACGGCTACCCGAGTGCTGAAAAATTGTGAAATATTGTCAGAGCTGGCTAAAGTTGATTACAGGTGGCTTATTATCTATTTTTAACTATCTCGATCTCCTCAAAGCTGAAATTTTGAGCAAATCAGCATTTGAAAAATCAAATTTGGACATTCCAACAAGACAGGGTTCCTACAAAGCCAAGAAAGTCAAAGATTTTTGCAAATTTTCCTGATTTCATCTCTTTCTAAATGGCATTTCAAAAATCGCTCAAAAATCAAAAAAATCCAGCTTGGTGGATCTTAATCCAATGGGTTATTCTGTCCATCGTTGAGACAAAAGCTTGCTCAAAACCGCATAAAAATGTTGAAAGAGTTTCAAGAAAATTTTTCTGAAAGTCTGGGATGAACTCTAGGATCAGACACTTGGTCACCGGTTCACTGGGTCACCACCAAGACACCTTTTCTAAACGCTTGACAGCGTGGTCGGACAAAAATTGTGATTGCTTTGAATTCAATTGTTAATTTATTGCTCATTGATTTCAGATAAAGATTTTAAAATAAAAGTTTCCTCTCTAAAGTTTAATTTTGTCTATCTACAAAGCTTTTTATCTGCACCTATAATTATGAAGCACCCCGTAGATACTTTGACAATAAAATCACTGCAAATGCTTGCTTGTCGCTTTAAAATTTGAAATAAATCCTGTCAAAGATTAGGTTTGATATGTATTTTTGATGAAATCTTACAATTACTTGCGAATCTATAATTACGAGCTATCCTGTAGATATTAGGTGTGTGAAAAAGTAATCCAGGTTTTTTATTTTTATCTGATGACCAAATAAGACGCTGTCTTCTCGAAAACCCTCGTTCAACCTCTTCAGAAATAGGCCTTACATTAAATTGTGATGGGTCAACCGTAAGGAAACGCTTGAATGCCATGAATTTTATCAAAAAGTTGGACAAATGGATACCGCATGAATGATAACGCGCGACCACATGTCTCTTTACAGACTCGACAAAAAATCCAGAGTGTTGGATGGGAGGTTTTACCACATCCACCTTATAGTCCAGACCTTTCTCCATCTGATTATTATTTATTTTTGTCTCTGTCTAACTTTTTGGCTGTCTCTGTCTCTGGCCAATAAACGGTTCAATTCCGAAGAAGATGTCAAAACCGAGGTTGATCTTTTCTTCGCCTCTAAGGACCAAGATTTTTATTATCGTGGAATGTCTTTACTTGTAGAACGTTGGCAAAAGGTTGTTCTTTCGAATCCTGATTACTTCGTTGAATAAAAATTATTTTAACGAAACTTATGGTCTTTTATATTTAACGTCTAAACGGTCTAAACGTTAAAAACGTGGATTACTTTTTCACACACCTAATACCTTCAAACGTGATTCTTCTCAAAAATCGAATCAACTCAGCATTGATTTTGAGTTTATTGGTCAACTTTTTATGTAATTGTGTAATCTGAATATGCAATCTTTTTGATTTTCAAAAAAAATCAAAAAGATGATTTTTTTTGGATTGGATCTTTTCTGTTAAATTTTTCCCAAAGCTGATCAAAGCACAACAATTTTTTTTGAGGCAATAATCTTTTGTTTAAGTTAGCCTAATCCCTCCAGGAACCCCAATGGGATTACAGAGAACATTTCATTGGAGATCATCCAGGTACAAAGAAAAAGAAAAGTGCTTAGATTAGATTTAGTACTATGTGTTGGTTTGCTATCTTTATTAACCGTTTTAGAAAGAAACGGTAAATCGACCAAAACACAAACGATTTGTTTCATTGAAAGACTCTATCTTTTCCCTATAAAATACTGCGCAAGTGTTCTAAAAAAGCGGTTTTTTTTGAGAAAGTTCAAAAGGCGAGAAGGCTAGTTGTGAAAATTGTCAAATTGATTGACAAAATGTCAAATGTCAAAAAAACTGACCCGGCTATGCGATTTGATCCCTTTCTTCTACAGAAACCTATTTTAGTTTAAATAGAGAAAAAAAAATAGAGACATAAAAAGTTAGGAGCATAGCCAAATTTTCAGAAAAATTCATCCCACCGTTTGCTTTATCTTTCTCTTCGAAAAATTTACGATAAATGAGAATTTACTCGCGAATTTCTCAAATGGCCCTACTGCGCAAACGTTTTGAGCGGGGATTTTAGTCTCAAAACTCTCATACTTCGGAATCATTTCCATTTTTACTTTAGTCTAACAATTTCCTACCTATATCCCTGCTCTCTGTAGTTGAAACAATTGTGATAGATGAAATGGTATTTCCCGCGTTCCTCGTTGGTGAAACGGATCGAGATCTGAAAAAATTTTGAGTTCTTGGCAGTAATCAACTTGTAATCAGGTGTATTTGGTGCTTAAAAATGTAAACACACATTTTTAGGTACATTTAATTCTTTAGGAAAAAGAATAACCCAGTTTTTTAAGTTGTACTTTAAGCTCAAAACAAACTCTTTCTGGTACACTAAATTTAAATTTTTCTACCGTCAATGTTGTCACTAGAAAACTCAAGAATTGAATGGACCAGAAAGGGTATGTTTTTGTGCACCAGAAAGGGTAAATTTTAGAGCACAAAGTACATCTCGGTGAAAGTTTCAGAATTGAGTGCGCCAGAAAGGGTCCGTTTAGAACACAATGTACATTTGGAGCACAATGTACATAAAGTACATTTGTTGTCCAGGAAAATATTTACCACATAGACTCAATATTTTCAATTTTCATTTTAACTCAAGCTAAAGATAGTCAGATGAAATTCAGTGAATTGAGTTTCCCAGAACGACAGAAAGAAAAAGACAATAAAGACTACATAAAAATCTATATTATCCTAATAATTGACATTAGAAATCCTGTTATAAAAATCTTACATTTGCCGAGTAGAGATTGTCATTCTTCTGCAATGGCACATAATCCACATATTCTTTTCCATCGGAATTACTCGTGAACAATCGTTTGATCGTGTCAAAGACACCGCGTTTCTCTCGATCAGACTGAAATTTTGAGATTTTGAAATTATTTGGTTTCTGATTCTTTGCAAAAACAAGGTAAAGCCGAACCCATTTAAACTAAAACAAAGGGATCATTGATACAAATAAGTTTCTTTTTTCTTTTTTTGACCTGCTCTTTCTTTTCACACGGTCCATAAACAATGAGATTGTTGACCAGTTTCTCTTTACAATTCTAGAAAACGTGAATTGATAAAACACTTAAATAAAAGAGTAAATGGGTAAATGTTAGAAAATGAACTTCTGTACTTTGTGCTCAAAAATAGAAACGCAACTTACTTGGCACATTCAGTTATTCACAAAGGTGTTTCCAAAGCAAATTTGCTTAATTTAGCAAAATTTTTGGATCCACGAAACTTCTTTGGTGGACCTGGAGTTTTGCTAAATTCAGAAAACTTCCGTTTTGCAAAATTCAACGGATTAAATTCAATGCATTTAGCAAAATTTAGCGCCATGTTTGCCTTTTTTGTTTTGTTTAATACGCTAGCTTTATGTGGCGGCATCAAAATATTCAGCCTACAAAAAACAAAACTGAATTTTACTAAATTTAGCAAAATTATTTTGATATTTAGCACTTAGCATTTAATAAATTCAAAACTTATTTTCAAATCTATTCTTAAAAATTGCTAAATCAATTTAGCAAAATTGCTAAATCGATTTTGCGAAAATGGTAGATGCTAAGCTGCTAAATCCGTTTAAAAAAATTGCTAGATATCTACTAGGAATCGGTAAACGATAGATGGTAAAATAGTTTAGTGGACCGGGCCCTGGCCTAGTTTTGGCTCTTGACTTTGCTTGACTGCAGATTTGTCCTACAAAAGTCCCTGGACCTGCTCAAAAACCGGGTCTAGTCTGGAACTGGTTGACAGGCAGGGGTTTTTCCAGGTCAAACCTGCAAGCCAAACTTGGACCTGGCTACTGGTTCGGTTTTTCTGATCTCCACACAAGCACCGTACTAGGAATATTTTAAAGTAAAGTTCCGAGTGCACCAGTTATGGAGTGTTTCTACTTTTGAGCACACAAGAATTTTTGTTTAAATATGAAATACTTGAATACTTAGAACTCATCTTTAACAAGGAGTAAGGATTTTAAGTGATTAGTTTGATTTGAAGTAATTTTAAGGGATTAGATCTTCGAGTGACTGGCTTTCAACCAAACCTTTGTCTCATTCTCGGCCGATCTCGTTTGAACATCGTCTTTAATCTCAACATCATCTTTGATCTCAACATCACCTTCTGTTGTTGCAACGCTCGATTCACAACTGAAAAGAAAATTTGAAATAGATTTTGAAAGCCATAAGCTTAAAACATATTAATTTTAGGTGAAACCATGATTTGAAATCAAAAATGATCGGAATGTTCAAAGAGAATCAACTTTTTTCGAGTGTTTTTGCGATTTTTCTTTTTGATGTGGTGAATTCCACTGGGAAAACGAAGTGACAGACATTCTTTTTCTTTTTTCTCTTTCTCTCTGATCTCCTTTTGTTTTCAATTGAGATGTCTGTCTTTTAAATGAAAAAGTGAGAAAAAGAAAAAGAAAAAAGAAAAAAAATTTATGGGAACAAAGTACAAAGTTTAGAATTAGTATGAGAATTTGATAATGAAATCATCAAATCACCAAGGTTTGAAAGTACAATTGAAAGTACACCAAGGTTTGAAAGTACAAAGATTTAAAATGATTAGATCAGAGCCGGATTTTACTGAAAAACGTTTCAAAAAATGATTTAGCTGAAATTTTTAAGTTTAGGCATATTGTAACTAGAACAAAATAAGCTTTGAACTTAAGAAGATCAGAAATAAGATAAAAACTTTCTTTGTTCAACTCCAATGAACAAATTGAGAAAGGAAAAGGCTTTCGATTTGATTTTAAATTGATCTTTTCAATAGAATAAATATCTTCTAGCAAAATAGACTGCTAAATAGTTAAATATCTTCTAGCTAAATAGATCTATAGTAGAGTGCCAACGGCAATCCACATAAAGTTGCGTGTCAGAGGTCGGGAGTTCCCGACGAAATTGAAGAAGTCAAGGAAGAAAAGGGAAAGAAAAGTTCGAAAAACAAACAAAGAGAATAGACGAAATGGAGAAGAGAAAGATGAAAAGAAGACAAATAATGTCATTAGGGAAAATAGGGAGAAAGGGAATGAGTAGAGGAGAAGAGAAGGGGTTCAGTCAGCAAGAGCATTATGGGGAACTATGATGTTCAGCAGCGAAAATTCTTCAAAATGCAAACTTTTTTGAGTGCATCTAATTTTAGTGAACAGTGATTTATCCTTTTCAAAACCAAGCCCACTTTTTTGTTCGAAATTTATTCTAGGGATCTGCGTCTTTAAATTGAGTTGAACGCAATAGACAAAAAGGGAAGAAAAATGGCCAACAAAAACACCCCCCGGGGAGGGGAAGGCTTTGTTTTTGAAGGGTGTAAACAAGAGAAAATTGTGGAAATGAGAAAACGCGAGTTATTTTGAGTCAAAAAGAGTTGTAGCTGAAACTTAGTTGAAGTCGAAAAACTTAGATTAGTCAACATAATCTGAATTAAAAAGTTTACTTGCGAACTTTTTCTCGAACTGGAACTAGATTTTTGTTTTCCTTACAAAATTAAAGTTGCCAAAGCTTTAGCTGATTAAGTTCCCTAATCTTAAGTAAAGAATCCATTTTAAGCTTCGATTCTCTAAAAATAGCTTTGTTCCATTCTCCCATAGAAAGATAAAGGCGTTTTTTTGCGATTTCGCAAAGTGCGAGCGATCTGAAGACGAAAAGAGGCTAAAGAAAGGAAAAAGAACCAAAATGGGATCCACAAAAAATTCTGTCTTTCTTCCAAAAAGTCTCATCGAATGCATGAAAGAGAGGCCACTTCAATAGAGAAAAACACATAAAACCGTCTTTCTCAATATCAATGGGAAGAAGGGGATTGCCCTGAGGTGATTCTGGTCTTTCTGCAAACAAATAAGGAACTCTCTTGGATGAATTGAAGAATAGGTGAGAAGAGGGACTTACAAAAATAGCACTACTTTGAACGTAGGCCCAAGCTTACGTCGCTATAACCTTTATTAACTAAACTACTCGATTGACCTAATCATATTTGTACTGCATAAGAGATGAGCTCTCCCTAACTAAAAACTTATAAAACTTCTTTAGATTTATGCATGAAATTCGATTTCGATTGTAGTTTTAGCGTACCGTGAGCAGGCACAAGTCGAATTTAAGGCTATTTTTAGTCAAATGCAAATCTCGGTTGTGATCAAATCGAGCTGGGTTATGAGAATTTATAAGAAATTTTTGGAAATTGAAGTTGAACATTGAAAAAGAAATGTACCCAAAAGCGCTAAGCTTCTTTAAATGGTGAACTGGTGTAACTTATAGAAATTAATAATAATGTAATTAATAATATTAATAATAATGTAACTAATAAAATTAATAATAATTAATAATAACGTCCAAATAATATATTTTAAAAGCTTTTCCAAAACAACAACTATATGGGTTGAACTCAAATTACATATCTTTGATCGATACGGTTTGATGATTTGAAAGTTCGAACAGATTTCGAAGCTTTACACTGAATGACAAATTTTGTGATTAAACGTTAAGTATAATAAAAGCTAAAAATAGTCGCCTTTTTCTTTAAAGATGTATTTGTGATCATTGAAAAGAGAAAAAAAAACGATGAATGCATGATAGCGTGAAATCCGAGGCTCATCCAAAAAGGAGAAGAGGAGAAATCGAAAAAGAATCACTGCTAAAGTGTCCTCTCGATTACTCCTCATCACATCATTTTTCCGAGAAAAAGTCACGAAGTGTTTCACGTGAAAAAAATGGTAAAAATAGAAAGGAATTCGAGAAATTTTGGAATGTTTTTTAGTTCTTTTGGTAATAATGAGATTAGGATTATTTTGTGAAATCAGTCTTGAAAAGTTTCATTGAAAAAATCGATTACTGTAAATGATTTGAACGTGGGATTCACTAATGTACTGAGAAAGTTGGGTAATTGTATCGGCATTGAAAATATTCTTTGGATTGTACTTTGTGCTCAAGCACACACTCTTTCTGACGTGCTCTTTTTGCAGCAAACCAAAGAACCAAGTATGCTGGAAGCGCTGCGTTTCCGTTTTGAGCACAAAGTACGGCTAACGTTTGTTATTAGCTGTTAATTCTTGAAAATGAATGTGCTTTGAACAGAAAAGACGCAGTTTTTAAAAGAGAATAGTCTCAGTTTACACAGAAAAACGAAGACATTTGATCTAACGAGCGAACTTTTGCGAAACGAGCTAAAAATGTTCAAAGAACAAAAATTAGCAAAAAAGTGCAAAAAAATAACTCATCCAATAGCTTGGAGGTCATAATTTAGCGGATTTTTCAGCTAAATGACATTGAGAAATGAGATTGGAAGATCGAATGATCGAAAAGGACATGAAAAGAGGCCAAATGAGATGGATTGGGTAAGTGAACCTATTGGGAATTTGAACTGGGGGGAAAGAGTCAGCTGTGCAGGTGATGGGTGAGTTCGGAAAGTGAAATGGAAATTAATAACAATTTAGATTTAGAGATTAAGGTCAACCAAATACTTTTTGATATTATTCAGCTGCTTCAATCGAGTCTGTGCTTTGTGCTTTAACAAACGCACACTTTCTGGCACTTCTAGAAATGTCTTAAAGATAATTCATCCAGATAACCAAGCGAGTTCATCTAGAATAATCAAGCATGCCAGAAAGCGAACATTCACCAGAGCACAACGCATAATAGTCCAATTTTCTGATAATTTAAAGTTTAAAGTTTAATTTAAAGATAAGTTTATTGAATTTTTAGATTCATCGCATGGATGAGCCAACTTTTCGAGCAAAAACGAGTCAGCTGTGTGCATTTCCCCAAGCAAAGCACAAAAATGCCCAAGGTTCACAAAGAATAAGCGCTTTGTAATAGGAAAAAGAAAAATTGGTAGAAAAGGGCAAAGATAAATGAAAAGAGGCTTATGTAATAGGTCAGGTCAAGATAATGGGAAAAGATCAACGAATCTGTTGAATTTATGAGAATCCCTCATGTACTTTGGGGTTCATGTAAAATTAAAACACACCTTTCGTGGTGCACAAAAAAGGTACAAAAGCTAAAAAAATTTAAAGAGGCAAACTACTCAAAATTTAAAGTTTTATCTACTGTTTAAAATCTAACGAAGGAATCGATAGTGTAAACTGATAGAAAAAGGTTCTTTGAAATATTGTTTAGCCTTTTGCAAACTTTATAAACATAGGCTAACAATAATTACAGTTTACCCAGTCCCCGTCTAATAAGTTTCAATTTTATAACTTCATTTCCGTCATTTATAAATTTCCCTAACAAAAACAAACTGTTCATGTGATGGGCAAATCGTGATTTTCTCCCCGATCCCACTCCTGAACACGCGTAAACGATTTTTCGGCAAATCCGCGAGGAAAAATATCGCGTCGAAGCCTAAACAAATATCGTAAAAATAATGTTGTTGACTATAATTCCATTTCACAAATTTCTGTGCATAGTGAATTTACTTTTTAAATCTCTCAAACCTTGATCAGTTTGTTGCAGTTGACAAACGCGTGGATTTGAGCCAACACTCTGGTAGATTGACGAGCCGCGAGAGAGAGAGAAGCCGATGACACCCTGGAAATTCGTTTTCATTGTTTATTTCGACAGTATTGAAGGACTTATCGGTTCTGATTTTGAATGAAATATAATATCTAAAGAATAACTTTGGAAACACATTCGGATAAAGGTAAAATTTGTTTCGTACTTGTGCTCTGACAAAACGTGAACTTTCTAGCTTATCTATCTAGTTATTTATTAAGTTGAGTAGTAAATCTTTCGCCCAAATTAATTTTCTAATTGAATAAGTCTCAAGCTACCAAATCAAATACGTTTTTTTTACCAAATAAAATAATACAAAATAAGCTACTAAATGAAATACGGTTTTTTTCGTTAGATAACCCAATCATTTCTCCTGCAAATAGCTTTTAAAAGTTTCTGAAAAGCTTTGTTTTGAAGATTCTTCATTAGCAAGAAGCCAAGTGTTCAAAAAACATCCGATGATGCGATTTGGACAGTTTCTTTCAAAGAAACCTATTTTGATGACAAAATAAAAAAGATAGCGCATAAAAAGTTAGGCTTACAGTCAAAATTTCAGAAGAATTCGTTTAGCGGTGTTCTTTATGTCTTCATTTTTCAATATTCTTAAAAATACCACCTTTCATTCTCGTAAATTATTCTAAAATACTAAAAATTGTTTTAAAATGGCAAAAAGTAAATGATAAACATTCATCATGAAAGAAAGCGTTTGGTATTTGGTAGTTTGTGTTTCGTTTGTTTAGATAATGAAATCAAAGGTGAAAGACTTAGTACTTAAACTAATAGAGCTTAAACGCACCAATCTATCCGAATGTTCATCACTCGAATCGGTCAAATGGGCAATTTCGTCGGGAACGTTGAAATTGCTGAGAACGAGATCGAAAGTGCCGCCCTCGGTGTAGCCAAAACTCGTCAAAATGATGTTTCGTCGAGCATCTCCCTGGAAAACTGTTTTAGAAATGTTTTTAAGCAAATCCTTAAACATTAAATTAAACAAAACTATTTGTTAACTGACAGCTAAAATTTCCTTTGCAAAAGTACATTTGTTAACTGATCACAAAAGGGGATGGCTACTTTGCTATGTTATAACATATTACTTATGTTATAAACAAAGCGGCTACTTTTAAATGTCATCACTTTGTTTGGTGATGTTTTGTGATACTTTGCGCCAAATTTTTTGCTCAACTCGCCATAACTTTCTTCTAAGTGTTTATCTTTATGATTTTGGTGTCATTTTGTAGAACTCAACAAGTGCAACAAAATGACGTTAAAATCATAAAGATAAACACTTAGAAGAAAGTTATGGCGAGTTGCACAAAAAATTTAGTGCAAAGTATCACAAAACATCACCAAACAAAGTGATCACATTTAAAAGTAACCGCTTTGTTTATAACATAAGTAATATGTTATAACACAGTCATAAGTAAATTATACTATTTATAAGCAGTTAATATACTTATTTGCTAATATAGAAATGCTAGAAAAGAGAATTCTCACCTTTAATGCTAGATGATGAATTTTTCCATATCCAATAGAGAACAAAACCGCGAACAAGATCACATTTTGCGGTGCAACCAGGCTCTTCATACCATTTAGTTGAAGGTTTTGCACCTAAATTTGCAAATACAATAAATAACATAAAGTTTAGAAGAAATACAATGCAAAGAACATAAAATTTAGAAGAAAAATGCGAATGGATTGGATCAATTGTTAAAAAAATGATCGTTATGGCGCCTAAAATGAACCGGTTTACTTTAGAAATAGTTCTATACGGTTGAAAGAGAAAAACTGATGAGTCAATAAGGATTTTAATAAGATAAAGGCAAAACTTTTGAAAAATTTCCGTTTGAAAATTGAATTTCGTTGACTCGAGCAACGGGGGCAAATAAATCGGCCAATGGGACGCGACGCGAGAAAAGAAAAGCGATGCGTGCAGCCGATTTAGGAAAGAGAACACGGGAAGGGGAAGGACAAATCCTGTCAATCAAAAGTCGAGAAAATAAAATGAGGGGAAGAGATATTCATTTGGGGTGAGTGGAAGGAGAAGTGCCGAAATTGAGTGACTGTTTAGTGGGAAAAGCAAAGAAACAAAGAATTGAGCAAAGAAACAAAAGTAAAGTTCACTTTTCTCTATTCAGTTGTGTTTTTTTCGGCTAAATTTTGGCTATCTATTTACTGGGGGGTGGGACAAATGCGACCTTTTTTTTGCGCACCTGGACATTTGCGCACCTTTTTTTTGCTGGAAAAGGCCTTAGGAAAGGTCGTAGAGCTTCAAAAATGTTTTCATAGACGCGAATCGTATGCGTAGATTCCGAATTTCGACAAATCAGACCTCGGTGACACGTCAAATTTGGGCTAAAAGGCAAAAACTACGCAACTTAACACTTTTCCGCAGTTTTTGCCTTTTAGCCCAAATTTGACGTGTCAGCGAGGTCTGATTTGTCGAAATTCGGAATCTACGCATACGATTCCCTTATATGGAAATATTTTCGAAATGTTTTCGAAGCTCTACGGCCTTGCCTAAGGCCTTTTCCAGCAAAAAAAAGGTGCGCAAATGTCCAGGTGCGCAAAAAATGCATTTGTCCCACCCCCATTTACTGATAATCTTTATGAGGTTAGAATTTCAAAATCTAGAAAAGAGAGGTAGGATTGTCTGGAAAACTCGGAAAAACCAGTAAAATCAGGCTGAAATGGTCAATTTTTCATAATTTCAAATCATTTCTGCCTGAAACTATTGTCAACAAGCGGCAACAAGTGGCTTTTTATTTCTAACTCTAAAATTTAACAGTCGGTTGTTGAAGTTTTTAGATTTTCTTCTACTCTGATCTGAATTCAACGACTTTGAATGCAAAGTTAAAATTGATTGAGCTGATTTAGATGATGGAAAGTTGCGAAATATGGATATAGAATTGTTTGGTAGAACTAAAAGAAAAATAAAATGAGCTCTTCATTCCCCTGGCTGTTCTATAAAAGAGGATGAACAGAGAGATTGCGAAATGCGGAAGAGGACTTGTTTTTGGTGGCAAGTAAGAGAAGAAAAGGCAAATGACACAGAGACAAAAAATAAAGAAAAGACAATAAGAAAGAGGCAAGTCTTCAAGTTTCTCAAAGCTTAATAAGCCAATAAAATCTACCTACAAATTTAAAGGCTACTTACAAATCAAACACATTTTTAGATTGATGAACTAAAAAGTTTTCCATTACTTTTTTTGTCAGAAGTTGCGAAATTCATCAACACATCCACTCAAAAGAAAGAAAATTTGGATAATCGATTAAAAGTAAAAAAACCCGGTTCAACTTTTAAAATCTTATTTGTTTTGAAGTTAGCTAATCGTTTTAAGACTTTTTCAACTTAGCTTTCTTGCCGAATCTTTTAGATAAAGATCGGTTTTGGAAGAACACGTTTTCGCTTCAGGAAACTCTCTATTAATAGAGAAACTTTTCTTTCGATGGCTTTCGAAAAAATCTAATATGTTTTAAGTTTAACAATATAGCAAAGAGCTTATTGATTAGTGTTGTTATTGGTCAGCTTAACCAGACCAACAGCCCAGCTAGCCTGGCATCTATACAACTACAGCTGAATAGCTTGTGCTGAATAATGAGCCCACGTCATCGAGGGTTAGTGTAGCAATGGAAAAGTGCCATGAACGAAGTTTTATTTTTGTTAAATTCTCGAACGGTTATTCTTTAATAGCAGAATGTTCTTTGTGGTGTTCGTTGTGCCCAAAAAGAAATATTACACAGTTAGAGCTTACTCTAATGCAAGCAAGTTGACACAAACGTATAGCGACGTCTTTGATCCAATCAAGCAATTGGAATTGTCACCACCAACAAAAATTAAAACAGGTTTTTCGTGTTTATTTTGCATCGAATAATTGATAAAACACCTTTAGATATGGAGCTGGCTATTGTCAACGGTTTTATGGTAGTCTATGGCAATACAACAATCATCCATTTCTATTATTTTCATCTCTTCAAGGCCATCGTTCGCAAAATTAAGGTTATTAAACTTTTGTTTTTGTAATATTTATCTATTCTTTTAGGAGAAGAAACTACAAGACATCTATTGTGATTCAAATACGTTTGTCTATGTGAAAGGATTGCTTGCCCTAACATTCATAAAACCTCTTGATGTCTTGTGATATTATACAACTACAACTTCGTGATATTATACAACTACAACTACAACAACAACTTGTGAACTTCGAGATGAAACCATCAAACAAATGCCCTCCATTATTAACGAGTTGCAAAGTTTGTTGCATATCTTTGTTATAAATTTAACTTTTTAAAATTAGGCTTATATTCGTACTTCGAAAAGTCTTTTGTTGGATTTGTTCGAAATAATCGCTTCGTTCAACCGACACACTTCATTGAAACGTGGAACTCGTCTGAAGCAATCTGTCGTGGCGAACAACCTGACAACTCGTTTCAGGAATCTTACAATTCTTTACTAAAAGTTTGTGTTTTTAAAGTTTAGTTAATGTTTAAAGATTTAGGCTCTTACTTTACGGCGTTCTGCTCGCTATGCTGCTCAAAAGCTACTAGATGTTCAAGAAGACTTCGAAAAACGTCTTGATGCGACCACATCTCTACTCTACCTCAATCATCACCTCAATCGTCGAAAGTTCTTCACGACCAGCGTTTAAGAAAAGTTGGGGGTTCATGGAACTTTGGGTAATTTCAGTCGATCATTTTAAATCTTTCTGTTGTTACATTTATATGTATGTTACTTCAGATGTTACTCTTTTGTTTTATTTTTCATTTCTTTAATTGATTAGCCAAGTTTTCATCTACTATTTTACTTTAGAATGCACAAAAAAACAAGTTTTTATCGAAAACTCCAAAAGAGCGTTGGTTAATCTACATTAAATTCTTTAAATTTCGCGCTGTTTTGAATGACACTGTTTTAGCGGCGCTATTTTGACTAGGTCCCCAAGATTTATCAGGCGAAAATGTGTCAAGGAACATGTGCATGTACTAGACATGGAAAAACTCTAACCACACCAAATTTCACCTTCGTTTTCTTGGCTGATTCCTCTGAAATTTTGTCTACAGATCGAAATCGACAATCGACAAACCGAATATGCACGGAAAAAAGGTGATGCTTTGTATTTGGTGGAACAGTAAAGGTCTCGTGTATTTTGAGGTGCTGGATTTGGGCCAAAGAGTCACGGGGGATCTCTACAAAGCCCAATTGAGTCGCGTGGACCAGGCGTTGCGTCGTCAAGGCAATAACGCGGTGACTACAAAATTCCTCCACGATAACACTCGACCTCACACCGCGAAGAGCACTCAGCAGAAAGTCGAGGAATTGGGCTGGGAAGTTCTGCCTCATCCGCCATATAGCCCGGACTTGGCCCCATCCGACTACCAGTTGTTTCGGTCGATGCAGCACTTTTTAGCAGAAATAAATTCAAAAACCGCGAAGAAGTTGAAATCTGGGTGTCCAACTTCTTCGAGTCGCAGTTGCCCGAGTTCTTCGAAAAGGGCATCCATTCTCTGCGTGGAAGATGGCAAAGAGTCATTGATAATGATGGCGAATATCTTTTAGATTGAGGTTCTCCAGAGACCAGAAGCTACACATTAATCTTCGCCAGAGACCAGAAGCTACACATTGATCTTAGCCGAAGAACCGAAACTACCTATTGATCATAGCCAGAGACCAGAAGGATTTTTATAATTTGTTTCCAACGTTTGTTTGGTTCCAACGGAAGTTCCATCTGCACCAACCTAATACTTTGACTCGTTAAATGTTTTGTATTGTTGTTTTGTTTGTTTTGTTTGTTTTGTTTGTTTTGTTTGTTTTGTTTGTTTTGTTTGTTTTGTTTGTTTTGTTTGTTTTGTTTGTTTTGTTTGTTTTGTTTGTTTTGTTTGTTTTGTTTGTTTTGTTTGTTTTGTTTGTTTTGTTTGTTTTTTTTGTTTTGTTTGTTTGTTTGTTTGTTTGTTTGTATTGTTTTGTTCAGCTTTCAAACTAAATCATCTTTTTATTCAATCAGCACAAAATCGGCAAGAAGAAGAAAACAGAAAATCTCGAAAAACATTTATACAGAAAACGTTTTTGGGTTTGTACTTTTTTTGGAAAAATGAGATCAACAAATTTGACATAAAAAGAAAGAAAAAGAGATACAAAAATCAAGGCAAATTTAAGGTGAACAGCTTTGAAAGCTTTTTTTTTGGAAAACTATTCAGAAAACTAGATATAGAAAGAGGGAAAATCGAATTTGAAATAAAAAAAAAATGCAGGACTAAACGCTAATACTCGTAATCGGGTGAAATGGTTAAGCAAATTGAAAAATTTAGAAATCGATCTCATAATTGTGACTCGATTTTTGGTGTTTTGTGATGATGCGATTTGTGGGTGGACTTGTGACTCCTTTGAACTCGTCGAACGGCAACTGGTGATGGGTCAACTGGTGATGGGGCAAATGTGTGGGTTTGAACGAGAGAAATCATGTCTTCTGAAGCGCCCGTCTTGATATTGAAATGATCCAAGCCGGTGTAGGCCTGAAATTCTTTGGGTTAAAGTTGCTGCTTGCAATTGCTATTGTTTTTGGTTAAATTCTCTAAATTTCTATACTACAGCCCTGTTAGAGAACAAGATCCAAGAATGAAAAGCCTGTTCTAGTATCGTAATTCCAACTTCAAAATGAAAACTTCTACTTCCTAGCACACTTAAATAGTTGTTTAATTTAACACACTTAATTTTCTTAGTTGAATCTAGCATTTTTTACTTAAAAAGATCAAAAATGAACGGGCTTTTCATTTCGAATTTTCTTGAGAACAAAGTAATCAAATGAAGGTGTCTGAGGCTTTACTTTTGAAATATTTACTTAAAGAATTAGCTTGAAATATCTTACTGATATTTCTTATCTTACAATAAGAAATATCAGTCAGAAAGTAAGTCAGAAAGTAAATAAGTAAGAAGTAAGTCAGAAAGTAAGTAAGAAGTAAGTAAGAAATCATTTTACATTAGAAATTTGAATAATTGATCTATCAGCTTCACTCACTTTGGCTTTTGATCCAGGCACGAATGAGGTTTTCTTTCCCCAAACGAGATTGTCATTTCCGAGAACTTGATCATCTGGAAATTTTAAGATGAATGATTTCTTTGATAATGATAATGATAACGTTTAAGATAATGATAATGTTTAGGATAATGATAATATTTAAGATAATGATAATCTTTAAGATAATGATAATATTTAAAATAATAATAATATTTAAGATAATGATAATATTTAAGATAATAATATTTAAGATAATGATAATATTTAAGATAATAATAATATTTAAGATAATGATAATATTTAAGATAATAATAATATTTAGGATAAATGATAATATTTAAGATAATAATAATATTTAAAGATAATGATAATATTTAAGATAATTATAATATTTAAGATAATGGTAATATTTTAGATAATAATTATATTTAAGCTTATGATAATATTTAGGAACTATTATTCTAAGATAATGATAATATTTAAGATAATGATAATGATTTCTTTGAGAGTAGATTGATAAAATAAGACCTTAAACAATATGAAATAATAACAATACCTCTCGACCACAATGAGTATACATGAGTCGAAGCTTCTTTTTCCTACCTCGTGTCTTGATTGATCCCGATTTGAGAATTCGCCGTAATTCACATTCCTGCATTCTCCCTCCTTCGCCGCCTCGCATGTCACCCACGCTTTCCCGTTTCCACACGTTTGTGAGGCCGCAAAGCCATTCTGAAAGTACATTTTTTGTACATTTTTTGAATTTGGTTTATCATTCTTAGAAACGATCTGAGAAACGATTACAAAAATCCTTAAAACTCAGTTAACAAATACTTATAGAAACGTTGATAAACCAGCCGAAAAACTCGTATAATGACGGGAATATAATATACGGAGGCCATGCTATTTAAAATCAGGAGTTAAAAAGAATCAAAATCAGATTGCACTACGATGGGTCGAAGCTGGCTTTTATGGCGCTGTAGACAGCGCACTCCCGACTGCTCACGGCGACGTAGGTCACCACCGCATCAGTCATTAAATGGTGCAGTCAGGCTGCGCCTTCGCCTTGTAGCCGGGGCAATCCAGGTTCGACCTGGCTTTCTGTTGATTGTTGCCGAACAAGCGCGCTCCCAACTGCTCACGGCGGCAGTAATTCACCGCCACACTGCTAGTCACCGTGGCTTACAGTCCGGAGCCTTTACACGCGATGGAGGTTCGACCCCTTGGATTGCACTCCAATTTTCATTTTTTTTAGTTTTTATTGAAAATAGCATAACTATATTATATTTTAAGGACTATAAAGGAGTTTGAGGTTTTTAGCCTAAGGTAGCTGGAAAGAGACCGTACAGATGGACTGACATGGACCCAGGCCACAGCTCTTTTCCATCCATATATCTTTTCCATATATAGTCTTTTTTCTACAGTTATGCCTGCAGTATATTCGAAAGTATTCAGATTTTTCGAAAACTAACCACAACATTGCCAGGCCCCGGACAGGAGATGAGACCAGGCTTTCCGCATAGACACATCCCGTATTGAGCGCCAGCCAGCACTATCAAGGTGTCCCGCTTTATCGGCGATACTCGGCCCCAAATCTCCTGTTTCCGTCTTTCAGTTCCGCTCAGACCTGATTATTCTTTCATTTTCTCTTTTCTTTTTCAACTCCTCACCAGTCCCTCCCTTCACGTTTTTTCGTGCCATTTTTTACTCCCATCGGGTGTCCAATGATGTCAAGCTTTTTGGCGACTCCGTTAGTAGTTAAGCACATTTTCAACGAATTTTCCGATGCAGTTTCAGATTTCACAGCTCATTAAACTGAAAATAATCGATTTATAAACCCAGATAAAAGCTGATTATTAATTTTTTGCAGAAAATTAAGCTCAACGTCAAAAGAGATTGGCTCAAAGTCCAAGAGATCCACTCCAAAAATCTCACCCTTTCTTTTCGAACCCGCTTCCGCATTGGGGTTTTAAAGTCCCCCGGAAAAGAAAAACAAGTGACCCTCAACGGAAACAAAGCCAATTTTCAGTTTCCAACAATAATCCCGTAAGGTTCAGACTTTTAGCAATGACCGCCCGATCTTTCCTTCCCTTAAATCCATGTCCTACAACCCCACAGAGACACTATAGTCCAAGGCAGATCCCAGTTTCAAAGCTTGAATGAAAATCACTGGATCTCCCGAGATCTGAAAGAATAGAATGACCAAACTAGCCAGCAGTAGACTATTTAAGATAGATAATAAGATGAATAGCTAGACATGTGAGATAACTAATGAATAATCAATGACCTAACTAATGAACTATCAGCTGAATAATAATGCATTTAATGGCCACTTAATGTGAAACAGCTACAGACATACTTCCATATATCTCCCAATTTACCCTCTTCTCTTCTTCTTTTTTTCCTCAAATAAACATACCAGTAGATTCACGTATTACTCAAAAGCATTTTATGAGCTTCGGCATCTTTCCAAATCGACTATAAATTTTGGGTTTTTAGTAGTGATCAAATGTCGGCTCGACTTTTGAGCTTTTGAACTAATAAACTTTTAAGCTAATAGACTTTTAAGCATGTGGGCTTTGAGCTCCGGCGCCCCAGACCCCCTTTTGAACTAATGAACTTTTGATTCGTCAACTTTGAACTGTGAGGTGTTGCAGTTTTTAAAAACTGAATCAAGAGCTGGTAAATAAAGCTCATGTTATTAAAGAGGTTTCTAAAACTCAACTAAGTTTATTTGAAAGGATCAGGCAATCAAAATTTATACCGCTGGCTTTCACTCTTCTTAACTCCAGCAAACTTGCTTGTAAGTGGAAATAATTCGTGAATTGATTCCACAAATTCATTTAGTTAGATCTTAATCTTCCTTTATCATCGCTCATTGAAGTTTGAACTTGTTTGAAAATAAATGAGAAAAAGAATATCCGCAAAATCTATCATTTGCTGGAAGGAATGTTTTAACTGGAATTTGAGATTTCTAAAAATCATTTTCAAACATTCTAAGAAAAGCTTTCATTTTAAATCAAGGCAATTCTGGGAGAAAATCTCTCAGTTTTAACAAACAAAAGCCAGCTGGCAATGGACAAGTTCACACCATTGGGGTTTCTGCAGCTAAAAGCTCCTTAGCCTTTAGCTTTTTGAGAAAGCTGAGAGGCCGTAAAACTTCCAAGCTGAATGCTTTGAAGCCATAAGCTGAAGCATCCCGGCTTTCAAAGCAAAGCCAACGCTGGCTTTAAACCGAGAGCCTTTAAGCTTGGCAAGAAAGTATTTCGGCTGAGCATCGGCTGAAGCCTTTCAGCTGAGGAAACCTTTAAGCTTTAAGCGCTGGCACTTTAAAAGCCTTAAGCTTTGACGCTATGGCTTTGCTTCTTTTGTGGCCCAAAGAAGCGAGAAGAAAATTTTGATCTGATTCAGTTTGAAATTTTTTGACGACAAATAGGAGAGTGAATCTCCCGAAATAGCCACTTCCAGCGAAAAGCCCAAATCGGTGCTCTCACAAGCGATTAAAACTGTCGGATGTTACCATATTTGCTTTAAAAAAAAGCAGGTTAAGATTCTCCGTAAAAGTCGAAGAAATGACGGGTTTCATTTAGATTCTTTTTTCACAGTTAATGTTACAGCTTTCCTTTCCCTCTATCAATTGGGCAGAATCTTAAGCGCTAGATTTTGTTGTGCTCTCAGTGAGAATGGGAAAGCATTAAATCTTTGAGCTGAAAGATTTGATGAAAATGAGTTAAGAGGAGTTTAAGTGAAGTGAATCATTTGGAAATAGGGCAACAATTTTGTTTATTGAACACTGTGAGATTCGGCTTAAATTCCTGATCAAGCAAAGGTGGGAAGAATGCCAGAGACATTGTTAGATGGGATCATCGACAGGTTATCTCTTTGAATTCATAGTCAGCTGCTAGTTCCCATCAAAGTCATAGATCTATCGAAATTATCGAAAGTTATCATAGAGAGTTATCGATCAATGATTCAGAAATTCCAAGCTGCCAATGGGTGACTGATAATGATTTGAAGAAAGAAGCAGTTTTATAGTCATTTAACAACCAAACAATTCTGCTTTTGGCCGGTCTCCAAACGACAAGTTTCGAGCGAGGAGACAGAGGCTTTAAAGTGAATGAGCACCAAAAGTGTTCAGGGAGAGAACTAAGTGAGTGAGCTTGGGGTTTGAGCTCTGTATCTGAAATAAAACTAGGAAAGATCCTGCCCGGGGAAGGATGTCGTCATGGCCCAGTGGGTTGGGGCCTATGTAGAAAGAAGGCGGCCAGGAGGTTCAGCCCGCAGTCAAGGGTTCATCCCGTTGTTTAGGGGTACGTTCTTTTGACCATTCTGTTTAGCGTAATCAAATTATAGTCCGATCAGAAATCCGTTTGCTCTGGAGCATTTCTAGCTCTAGACGTTTTCTCTATTCTGAACTATACAAAGTCGACGTCTGATCTAGAGAGAAAGTAGGTCAACTCGTTTGCGTCTAGAATCAGCATCACTATAGAATCAAGTATAAAGTCTGGTTCAGGACGCTAAATCTGGATCAGGACACGTAAATCTGGATCGGATTTAGAATGATAGATTTGATTTAGAACCAAATCTGTTTGCCCTTGCTTCACTTTCGGACTTCTAAATTCGAACATCCGATCCTGGGAATCACAGTCACGATCGGATCTGGGAGTCTAGATCGGACCTTTCTGGTCGGACGGATTTTACAAGATCAGAACTTGAGTTTGAATTTCAATATATCTTTCTTATATCTGGAATATCGGGACGTCCCGTTTTGCCAGGAAAGTGAAAACAAGAAAAAAGACTGACCAAGTAGCGATCGTGAGCGGTGCCAAATTTCCGGAGATCAAAGAGGCAAGCCCCCGAAACTGCAAATGGAAGACCTTTGTTCCAGATATAATACAACATGAGTGCTTCATCCAAATCTTTTGTCAAGACATAACCTTTTTGGCTCTTTGTGGTAGAAATATTAAAAAATTAGAAGCTTAAATAGAAAATCTATGAGCTAGATGTTTAGAAAATCTATGAGCTAGATGTTTAGAAAGTCTGATATGAGTTCAAACAAGGCAGCTCCAGAAGCGAACCACCAACAGCGACACAACATCTCTTATATGTTATGCTTTGCTGGAGGCTGGACCTCCCGTGAGCAATGGGCGTAAAGAAAGGGAAAGAAGGAGACGTGAAGGAAGAGAGGGAATAGAAAAGGAATCCACCCACGTTCCCAGTTCGCGGATAATTACTTCTTTGCCGTGAAAACACGGGTACAGTAGAGGTCTGGGCACAAAATCGCTCAGGAGCTAGCAGGAGCAGAACACAGTCGCATTCATTCCACCCTCCTCCTGTAATTTGGCTAAGAATTCTTCAGAGACTTTTGAGAGTCCAGATTGACACCAAAGGAGTCTAAGCCGGATGTAAGAGTTCCTAGATTGAATATCTTTTAGAGTTTGAACTGTTTGAGTGGTCAGTTCATCTCCTTAGCCCTTTCTTGGGACTTTTAACCATAAATACTGGTTGGATCTTTGGTTGGCAGGTTTATCACATGATTATCTGCCGGCTAGCTGCTGGCATTCTATGACAATCTATGGCTATCTATGACTATCATACAACTATCTATGACTATCTATGGCTATCTACTTGACAATCCTATGACAATCCTATGACTAGCAGCTACTTGACCCCAATCTATGACTATCTACTTTTTGTTTATCACCCGGTACTTTTATCTATGACAGTCTGCTGGCTCCATCCATGACTATCTACCCCCCCCATGTTTATCTTTGCCCAGCTATCACCGCTCTGACTCCCCCCCACTCCGACCCTTTTTGACTATCTGTGATTATCTACTGACTAGCTATGACCAGCCTGCTGATTATCTATCACTCTTGTCTTATCACTATCTATGACTTGGGACACGGTGAGAAGCTTTGAAACATCTAAGGTAGCCATCAGTTTTCCTTCAAAACTTATTAAGCTTTTGGGACTTTTGTTTTAAAACTACTTTTGAAACTGCTTTGGCTCTGCCATCCATCAACAGACCCCCGACGATTTTGAATAAATAGGCAAGAAAGAGTAGACTTGAAAAACCAACAACAGCAAGATTCCCGCATTGCAACTGGGACTACTAAGGCACAGTCGTACCGACTTGAAATCCAGCCGAGGAAACGTGAACTTTTGGGTGGGTGTAACTAATTCATATGAATACTATGGGAGTCACCAGGAGGTACATAAGAGAACAAAAGAAGCTCTTCCACTCCCAGATTTTGCCAAAAAGCTGATTTTAAGTTGAGTTAGATTAGTTTTGCACCGGTCCTAATGATTTGTGGATGAGTTAAATTCAATGAGTTTGCGACGTTTTTTTTCTTTCTTGAGTCTCACTGAAAGGAATTTGATTTGTTCACCAGGCGTTCAGTGTTTTTCATTGGGAGTCACGGCGCGCAGTGTATACGGACCGTTTTTTCGGAATGATTGTTGACCATGTTACCTCTAAAAGTAGAAGCCGCACTAAACTGAATGCCAAATGAAGTGAATGAAGCGCTTCAACGGGTTCACCGACGCATTTAGCAAGTTTGGATTTAGCAAAAATTTAACAAATTTGAGCGCTAAACGTTGCTAGCTTTTTGGTTGAAGCTGTATGTTAGCTTTATGTGGGCATCAGAAGGCGGTATCATAAGGTGGTATCAGAAGCCGGTATCATAAGGTGGTATCAG